GTGTGGCCATCCCTCCTGGGGGGGTGATTTCTCACTTTCTGTCTCTCTGTCTCTGTCTGTCTGGTGAGCGCACGCATCCTATAGCAAAAAACTTCTCCAAAAAACAAACAAACAAAGATGTTTTTCATAAATAATCATGTAATTTGGGGCAGGACACGGGCAGACAATTGTTCACAGTATATGACAACCTTCAAACTCCCTTCTTCCATGGACTTCCAGCATCAGAGAGCCGCTCTAAAACCCAGCGATGCCCTGATCGGGGGAGCTTAGAGTGAGGGCTGACATTGCAGTTAACACGCCGTTCAACAGCTTCTCACGAGCCGGCCCTGACTTTTGGGAAACGCAAGTGGCAGGATTAGCAACCTGACAGCCCAATAGTGTAGAGAAGGACCTGCTGCTCTTCTGAAGGATGCCATGTCAGTGTCACTGGGAAGTGCAGTGACATACCGGTAACCAGTGTGTGGTCGGGTCCCCACAGGTCTCTGGTTTAAGGGAGTTAGTCTATGCCGAAGGCAGAGAGGGAGAGGACAGACTTTAAGTTTCCCACACCGCGAGGCATCCGTGCCGAGGCGGCTGTGTCAGGGAATGCCTCAGGGGACGTCAGGAAACTCTTCCTGGGAGCCAAGAGGAACTCTCAAAACTAGAAGGGAAAGATGTTGTCCCCCAAATCAATCCAGCTTTGAAGATGTTCTATTAGCGACAAATGCCCCTTTCCCAAAACACAGCAATGAAGTGTTCTGTGTGCTAACAGCGTAGCTTTAAAAAAAAGGTAAAACAAACTTTTATTTTCATAAAACTTGATAAAGAGTCGTACTGCAGACTGTGCAGTCACCAGAAGGACACGGTTATCACAAATGCACACGCGTCCCCTGGCATCTGCAGCACCTGCAGCCTTCTGTGCCTGGTCTGTCTGGGCATCTCCGTCCTCTGCAGGGTTACTCCCGTCCTCGCCAGCCTCAGCTTCCCGCTCCCCCTTTGGGCACCTTCTCTCCCTGCTTTGCAGGGGTCCACTGGGCTTGGGCTCTGACTTTGGAGGAGCAGGTTTCACAGACAACCTTGCGGATCTCTGCGGTTCGCCCCTCACCTCGGCTGTGTCTCCTCTAGCATCCCCTTCAGCCTTTCTCCTGGGCACGGTGGTGACCATGGTGGGATGTGGGCCCTGGACGCGGGGGGTGCAGAGGAACACAGGGTTTGGTTGGTTAGAGAGTCATCATTGTCTCTTCTTCAGATTGCTGTTTATTATTTTTTAAATTTAATTAAATCAGAATTTTATTTTATTTTAGTTAATTTGTTGTTGTTGTTGTTTTCTATAGGACCCATGCACTTCCTAGAGAGAGAAAGTGAGGAAGCCCCTCCCGGGGGCTGGCCATGCAATCCCCTCTAGCTACTCTCTTCCTGGGATTTTGGGCATGCGTGCACATGTACCCAGTGTGTCTTTCGAGCCTGCTGGGTTCAGGACTGGAACCGTGTAGTCAGCCATATGTGATCCGGCGGCCTTAACCACTGTGCCACTGGTTCGCCCTAAATTTTATTCTTTCAGTGAGATGATGGATGAGTGAGTATTTAGCATAGATGTCGGTACCTACGAGGTGCCATAAATATTGGCCTCCTCTCTCTCTCCTTCCCTTCTTTCTCATCTTTGGTCAGCTTTTGTGCTAGATGCTTCTGGAAATAAAAACGCAAGTATGACCTAGAACTGCCTTTGAGAGGCTTGTCTCAACTCCCGTGGTGCTAGGCAGAAATGCTACGGGGACCCCACAAAGGGCCACTGCTGCCCCGTGACGCACAGGGGGGTGAAGTCCATGCGGGTTGGAGAGCCATCGGGAAGAGGTGGCTTTGGGAAAGGACTTCACACCTCGGTAGAATTCCTAGTTCTTTTCCATTTCCTTCCTTATCATTTTCCTCCTTTCTTATTAAGCGATTATTGACCCAGCACTTAAAATGCCTAGATGACCAGAACTCTGGCCTGAAGGTTCCCTGGCTCCCCGGACTCAGCTCTCTCTCATAGCTTTGCCCTCCGGTTGGTGTATTCCGGGGTGTAGCTCACAATGTCTCCCACCAACCCGATTCCCAGATAAATGCCACGGGTGCGAACACACGTGAGCATGCAGCTGGAGGGGTGTGCAGACCTCTGGGACCATCTGATGGACCCAGGTTGATAACTCGGAATGAAGGAAACTGCTTGAAGTAGACAAGGTGATGACCGTGGTATGTCCTTCTTCTTTGTTGGGGTAAACTTGAAAGGGATGGCTCCATTGAAAATGGGATCCATGAGTCTGAGTCCTCCCTGTAAAGTCAGACTCGGGGGTCAAACCTGTCTGGGTGAAGTGTGCAGGATTTCAATAAACAGCAGCAAGGGAGAAAGGCAGACCAGGCCCCCAAGAATGGCATGAGCAGAGAAAGGCATCACAAAAGGAAGCCTAGGGAATGTTCGAGAAGGCAAGGGGGGGCCCGGCTGTGGCTGGGGGTGCCCGGCATGGCCGTTGCTGGTGATGGCTCAGAGTCGGATCACAGATGGCTCGAGAGCAGGAGCAGGCCTGACTTTGCTTCCAGAAAACAGAGTCCCTGGACTTTGGCGCACAGTTTATACCGGGCGTCATGGCTGGGCTGGCGTCTGTCCCTCCACTGGTCTGTCATCACTTCTTGGAAGCCGGCTTCCTCATCTATAAAAAGGAACAGGACCAGCTCATCAGCACGGTGCTACTGCACTACTCCAGAAAAGCTGGATCCCACGTGGCAACCCTCGTTTGAGTCCCTGGCCGGGTTAGCCTGAAATGCCAAGCATGTGAGGGAGGGCCCAAGGAAGAGGGTCGAGGTGGAGGGCTCCTCGCTCTCGCTCACTCGGTCCCGGGTGTGTGTGCTCTATTGGCAAAGAAAACCAAACGGGAATAACAGGTCTCTGTGCTGGCCTGGGGGACAAGGAACCCTAGAGGAGGCGACCGTTACGGAGTTTCCGCTCAGCTCTACTAGACGTCTCTGGGTGGAGCCACGTGGGGCTCTGGTTCCATGTCCCGAGGACCCTTTGAAGCTTGGTCTTGAGGGTGTATTTTTGCTCTCTGAACTGAAGATCTGCAAACAACTGAACAGGTGTTAGAATGTTCAGTTCCAACCGTTTCCATGGTTACTCATGCGTGAAGCAGAACTGCAGTCCGTTAGTCCTCACAGACAGGGTGTCCCACAATTTGGGGGACAAATTCTGAGGCAGAATTCAGGCTTTCTTCAACTTTGCATCGACCCATAGTACAATGGTTTTAAATCTGATGATCAGAAATGTGAGGTCTGACATGGAAAGAACATTTTGTAAAGTCAGGACTGTGTCCCCCTAGAATGTTCTGGAGTGAAGGCCAGAGCCCAAGTCAACTTAGTCCACTCTAAGACCAGTCTTGCCCCCCCGTCAGCCTTCAAGCCCCACAGCCCTGCCCCCGGGCCCCCAGAGTTCCCATCACAGAACCTTTCCTCCGTACCTGGACCCGTCCCTGGTCTGGGCTGTGCCCTGCAGACCCTCACCAGGACCTGCCCCCTCCTACTCCCTCCCTGCCCTCCATTAACCGGCTAACCCAAGGAAGGATGCTGGTAACTTAGCCCTAACAGGGGCAAGGAGGGGAGACAGGAGGCTGTGCTTATTCAGAGCTGAGCTCCAGGGAGCAACACATCATAAACGCATGTGAGACACCTCAGCTGTAAAATGGGTATCAAAATACCACGGACACGCGGTGCTCTGTGACCCGTGAAGGACCGCACGCGCGTCTGGGACTCAATTCTTCGAGCATGATAGTAATCGAAAAGTGGGGCATGGGAGCCAATCAGAAGTCTAGAAGTCAGCTTTACAGTGACAACAGAGGATACAAAAATAAATAAAATACACACATAAACAAAAAGAGAAAGAGTCCTCATCATCTTATAAGAGAACGCGCCACCTAACGTTACCTGCGTACTGTACTCCCTCTGTCTATGGGACCCGTTTCCGCGGGAAGAGTATGCTCCCTTGGGCACAAATATTGTGCCTTGCTGTGGCCAGGGAAGTATGAGTGTCGATGTCACGTAAGCCTTCGTGTGGCTCTGCCGTGTTTTTCTCCTTTTGTCATGAGACCAGCATATTTCAGATAGGGGCTTTCTGTCACCCGAGGTCCTGGAACGAAGAGCCCTGGGAAGGACATGCAATGTGAATGACAGACATTTACTTTAAGCCCTTGAGATTTGGGGTTGTTGGCTCTCACAGCACGATCTGCCCTGAGAGCCCTGAAACACAGAGACATAAACGCTGTTAGGGTTTGGGTCTGTATCAATGAATATTTTTTTCTTTGTTTGTGTTTTATGTATTTTTTAAAATAAAAATTGGATCATAACACATGTCCGATTTTATGTAGTGCTTTTCTCATTTCTTCTGCAGATACTTCAGGGTATATCTCTGAAAGATATGGGTTCTTTATAAACATAACCACGGTACCATTATCACACCTAAAAATAATAATTGCTTCATATCACCAAGTATGAGTCATTGTCAATGCTGCTCTGAATTTTAAGTCCATGTTGATTAAATCAGAAATCCATGCCCATGATAGGCCCTCAAACCTCTCTTTATGGGTAGGCTCTCCCTCTTCTCTCTCTCTCTCTTTTTTTCCCCCTCCTATTTGTTGATAAAATGGAATGAACTGTTCTGTGGAGTTTCCCACAATCTGGATTTTGCTGATTATTTACCCACGGTGTTGTTTAACATGTTCCTATTTCCTGTATTTTTAATTACTGATTAAATCTAGAGATGTAATCAGATTTTTAAACTTAATACATTAGGAACATTTCCCCTACCATTTAACATCCCTCCACAATGTGCTGAATGATTACAGAGCTGCCGACTGTATCGATGTTGTTTATTTAGCTGGTCCCCTATTGCTGGACAGTTAGGTTGCTTCTAAGTTTTTGCTGTATGCACAACTCACTGATAAACGCCCTTGTGGACTAACTGTCTTCTGGTCCGACTTTTCACCCTTTTATTCTGTTAGTTCCTGAGGATGGTGGATGCCTGTGCCAGCTTCCTCACCGAAGCCCTGAACCCAGAAAACTGTATCGGGATACTGAGGCTGGCAGACACACACTCCTTGGACAGCCTAAAGAAGCAGGTTCAAAGTTACATCATTCAAAATTTTGTGCAGATTCTAAGCTCTGAGGAGTTTCTCGAACTTCCCGTGGACACGCTGTACCACATCTTGAAGAGTGACGACCTGTATGTGACTGAGGAGGCTCAGGTGTTCGAGACCGTGATGAGCTGGGTCCGGCACAAGCAGTCGGAACGACTCTGCTTGCTCCCCTGTGTCCTCGAGAACGTGCGCTTACCGCTCCTGGACCCCTGGTACTTCGTGGAGACGGTCGAAGCAGACCCTCTCATCAGGCAGTGCCCAGAGGTCTTCCCTCTGCTCCAGGAAGCCCGGATGTACCACCTTTCTGGCAACGAGGTGAGTGGATGGCCAAGGTGCTGTGTTGACCCAGTGGGGCCAAGAGTTCCCCACCTACCCTGCCCAGGGTACTTTCTCATTCCGTCTCACAGGCTGGTCTACCCACCACAGTCTCCCCACGGGGGTCTGGCTGCCAGCTGAGTCCCTGGACCCTCCTCTGCTCACTGCTTGAACGCTCTCAGGCTTGCCCCGATGGCAGCAGTGGAAGCCTGGAGGCTGACCCGTGAACACGCTTCTCTCCTTGCGTTCACGCCCGACACGTTGGCCTTGCCTGTCCTATCTTCGACTCTTCCTCTCGACGGACCTTGTCCACCTTCTAAGCTGGAATTGGCTAAATCTTAGTACCTGAAAAGCAAAGGCCAGTCTACATTTGGTTTAGGAGTGACAACTGGAAGCTTTGTTGGACGAGGCCTTCTGAGGCCTAGGATAGTTGCCCTCTTCATCTCACAGCTCCTAAATTTCCAGAGACCAATGAGGTCTGCAGCAGAGGCTGCTCTGACATGCATGTTACGTGAAGAGTGGGGCCGAGGCTCCACTTCTGAGGACAGCTCGTTGGAGTAATAGGTCACTTCTGCTTGGTCCCTCGTGTAGGCTCTGTGGGCCCCCGGCAGCCAGGAATCCAGCCGTCTGCTCTGCTTGGTCCCTGGTGTAGGCTCTGTGGGTGACCAACAGCCAGGAAGGTCCATCCATCTGCTCTGCTTTTTTTTTTTTAATTCATTTTTAAATTTACATTTAATCACATCTTTACAGTTTACAACATTTCTTTTTCCAGCACAAATACTATGCATGTCGGTCAAACCAAAGATGTCACTGTAACTTATAGCAAGTAGCTTCTCACTTTTTGTCAAGTAAGCATACTTTCACGGGTTTTTCCCTTCCCCTTTCTCCTCGCTCCCTTGCATACTAAACTTTTTTCCACATTTTACTGATTCACAAAATACCTTAAACTAAAAATATGGACAAAGCTAGAATCTAGTTACAAGTGCCCTGTAATTTTCTTCTGAAACTTTTTTTAAAATTAATTAATTAATTTCCGTTCTTTCCCTGAGCATCGTGACAACATACAAAATGTGATTTCCCACCCAGAATATATTGCATAGTGGCTTAATCATACATGTTGTCATCAATAGTTTTCCATTTCTAGTTTCATATGTGTGTGTGTGTGTGTGTGTGTGT